TCAGATATATATTGCGTGAACCAATCAATGGATCAATGACTTATATGAATAATGAATTTCGTAATAAATTTTTTAAAGGAAAAGAAAATTTTGGATATGATCTTGCAGCATTAATTCTACAAATAGGCCGTGATCATGGTGTTCCACCTTATACTGTATGGCGAGAATATTGTGGTGGTAGTAAGGTTGAAATTACTTAACTTAAGAATATAACTCATTTCAAATTTTGGATTATTTTATATTTATCCAAAAAAAAAAAACATGAAACAATGGCAAAATAATTGCCTAATGGTTTTATTTTTGTAACAAATTATTTTAAATAGATTCAATCATTTAATGATTTATTGGATGATTTAATCGGTGGAATAGAGTTGATAGAAGAATTAGCAAAAATGTATAAAACAGTGGACGATATGGATTTATTCTTACTTGGTCTAGCTGAGAAACCATCTCAAGGAGCACTTCTTGGGCCAACATTTAGTTGTATCGTTTCATTGCAATTTCAAAAGGTTTTATATTTTATTATTTTGAAATTTTTTCTTTTTAGTTGTAACCAAATTTCAAAATTTATTATGTTATCGATGGATTAAATGAATGATATTTTAATAAATGGAAATTGAAAGTGATATTTTAATAGATGGCAGTTTGAAATTTCAAAGAATAAAGATACAAATGTATTATATTTTTATATATCATAATGAAAGATTTATATATTTTGGTAATTTTTATATCATAATAAAAGATTTGTTTATCACAATGAAAGATTTATATTTTGTAACGAAATATTTATAATTTTTAAATCATAACAAAAGATTTATGTATTGTACTGAATGATATATTAATAGATTAATATATTTATTATTATATATTTACAATTATAATTTACTACTTCGTTTAATAATTCAACTAAATTAAAAATTTTCACAAATTTAGACAAAAGAAGGTGATCGCTATTGGTATGAAAATGATTTAGCACAATCAGGTTTTACAAAAGAGCAGTTAACTGAAATTCGTAAAACAACAATGGCCAAAATATTATGTAATAATGTGGAATATTTTGACGTATTACAACCAAATTTATTTGAATTATCAAATGATTATGAGTAAGTGTAACAAAAATTTTATTATCATTTTAAAATTACAATACTTTTACAAATAAATTATTCTTAAAGAAAAAAGAATCATAATTGGAAATTTAATAGACTAAAAATTTTTATAATAAAATGATCTCGGTTGAAAATTACATCAAATCCTTATATTAATTGATAATAATTTGATTTAAATTTCCTTAACAGCAATTATCCGATTTATTGTAATGAAACATTACGAATTGATATGGATATTAATAAATGGCTTGATGATTTAAATGATAAGATCGAAATGCCTCTAACGGAAGAAACAATTGAGAGAGAAATTGAAATTGCTATAAAAGAAATTAAACAACGTCGTAAACGTGAACGACGAAATATTCGAAAAAGTATTCACTTTGTCTTTTTTTTCTCTTTTAACTTTATTATTGCACTAAATAACTTAATTATGAATTGAATATATCTTCAATTAATTATACACCAATTTAAAAGTATTCAGTAATTAATGCATGTGTGCATATAGATTTTCAAGTTTAATCCATTATGCTTAATAAGTAATTTATTTGATCTTTACTTTTGTATACTTAATTCAGTCATTACCATTATCAATGGTATATTAATATGTTTAGCATGAACTATATGTATCATTTATTTTTATTTAACTGTTTTATGTCTCATATAATATAAACTTGTAAGATTTTATTGTTTGCAGCGGTAATCAATTTTGTTACTGAATACGTTCAAATTAATAATAATTAATCGCACACGTATTCAATTTGTAATTAGGAAGAAATAAATAATATTATTCAAACTTTAATGTTGTATTGTTGAAGTTGAACTTTTATAACTCTTTTTTTTTCAGATCAAGATTTGTTTAAAGCTGGCGATCCGTTATTGTCGTACGCTAAAATGATGCAACCAAAAGATGTAGCTGTTGCAATCTCTCGAGCATCTGATGTATTTCTACAGGCTACCAAGAAT